AGGGATTTCTTGCAGAAGAAAAGCATGTTGGGCTGTTTGGATATTGAATAGTGTAATAACCTGAAGAACAATCATCAAACAGAATATTACCATTGGAATTGCTTTGAGCATTATTCCATGAGCGGTGTTTTGAATTAAAATCACCAATAATGAAGAATTTAGACCTATGACGGGTAAGTTTCTGGAGGTCACCCTTGAGAAAATTCTTTTGCTGGCCTACGCATTGGAATGGCAAATAGGCAGCTATAAACGTAAGTTGTCCAAATTTTGTTTCAACAGAAACTCCCAAAGTTTCAAAAACTTTGGTTTCAAATGAAGAAAGAATTTTATGTTTGATTCGTCTATGAATAATGATGGCAACGCCACCACAGGGTCCATCAAGACGATCATTTCTATAAATCAAGTAATTTGCGTCCTTCTTAACCTTATGGTCAGGTTTAAGGAACGTTTCAGTTATAACGGCAATATGCACGTTATGAACTCGCAAAAAGTTAAATAGCTCGTCTTCATTATCTTTAAGAGATCGAGCATTCCAATTTACAATATTTAATGCTTTAAAATCCATTACTGAATTTTAAAGTCATGACAATATTATTTGCAAATTTTACTCCAGTTTGAATAGCATCAAACATGGAGTTAGATTTAAGCATATCAGAAATCATGTCAATTAATGATTTCTGTAAAAATTCCATTTTAGGGGCAGTAATGCTTCCTAAATCAAAATTGTCAAAATTTCCGTTAGAATTACTTTGGCTAGTATTTTGATTTCTACCCGTTGCAATAGCAGCATAGGTAGCTCCATTAACTCGCTGAACATTGTTAGCAGCGAGGGGAGTAGGTACAGATGAAAAATTTGAAGCAGGGGTGATATTTGTACCTACGGGTACGAATGTAGAATTTGTTCCTCGCTGACCGTTGTTAACAGCAGAGGAATTTGTACCTGGTCGGAAACGTGAAACGTTTGCTACCTGTCGGTTAGAACGAGATTGTAGGATCGCTTTGCGAGTCTTACATTCCCAAAAATTGGATTTGTGGTTTTCACCACAATTTGAACATTTAAATTTCTTAGGATCTTCCTTCACAGGACAGTCGTCCTTTGCGTGAGAGGAATCACCACAATTCATGCATTTAGCTGGCATGTAGCAATTTTTAGTTCCGTGACCCCATCCCTGGCATTTACGGCACTGGGTGAGGTTTTGGAAATTTCCTCCAGTCTTCCTGAAGTGTTCCCACTTCACTCGGACATGGAGCATAAGGCTAGCTTTTTCTAAGGCCTTAAGGTTGTTTAGTTCACTAGACTTGAAGTGAACTAAATAAAAATCATTAGAAATCCCGTTGCGCGAATCGCCAGGACGGGATTTCATTTTCATTTTGATTACTTGGAGTGGCACAACTCCAAGTAATTTTGCCAGTTCATCTTTGATCTGATCCAGGGATTCACCACTGGGCAGTCCTTTCATGACAACCTTGAACACACGTTCAGTTTTGGTGTCGTAAGTAAAAAATTTGTGCTTCTTCTCAGTAAGATACTTGAGAAGACATTTAAATCCGTCCAAGGTTTCAGCCAATACACGGCATTCACCCCGACGTCCAATTTGTAGTGAAAACTCAACTTTCACGAAATTCAAAAGTTCCATGCGAAGAGCATGGAAATCGGAAGTGGTTATCACAATAGGGGGAATCTTTTCCTTCTTGGCATTAAGCCGGGAAAGTTTACTAGAATTTTTCTTGGATGATGGATCATTCTCATCATCCGTGAGCAAATCAAATTGATTACTCAAATTAATTTCTTCAGAAGGGGGGTCAAGAGTTTGCCCCTTTCTTTTGCGTTTAGGCGCCATGGCGGCAGTAAATTTTTATCCAAATCGACTTCCAAGCAGATTACTATAAGAATCTGAAGGATCGAAGAGGAATTTTCCAAATCGATATCCAAGAAGGATAACCTCGGGTAGGGTCCAAACAAGGATCGAAGAGGAATAAAGTTGAACAAGGTAGAAATTTTACAGGTTGAGCACTGAAAAGTGCTGTTTAAATTTGTTGTAGCTTTAGGTAGTAGTAACACTACCTTCAGCAAAAAGCAAATAGATCCGCACGGCAAGAGAGCACGATGCGGACTGAGGCCTTTACGTTTATTTTTTTTTTTTTATTTTTTTTTTTTTTTTTTTTTTTTCGCACATGCAGCGCTAGCGAAAAGAGCGCAGCTAAGCGAAAAGTTGACGTTTCGAGAAAGAGCGTATCTGTCAGATTTTCACTTCACCGGAGGTGTAAACTGATCGATTTCGTTTCACATGAACTGTAAACTGCGAAAAAAGGAAAATGGAAATGTTCCACAAACATTTTTTCACAACCTTTTTCGCTAGCGAAATTTCATGATTTTTCGGGTGCTTCAATTTTCGTTTCGCTTCGATCTGTATACTAGGCTTAAGCATGATTTCAAATGGAACGGCTTTGACATTACTATCCATTTGAATATCACTACGGAAAAGTTGAAAATCTTACTTTTATCTCAATAAATAAACTTTTTTGTAAAACCGTCTAAAGATCGGTACTCGATTAGCTAGCGTACATTAGAAAAAAAAATGCGGCAGTCATTTGCGCACTGATATTGAGGCGATATTGATATTCTATAACTGTGTGAACTGATACTGACATCAAGTGGCTAGTGAAATTCAGCATTTCGTAGGTATTGATATTGATATTTTGCAGCACTAAAGGCAGGCAAGGTACGCATGTTGCTTGCGATAGGGAGCAACCACAGACAAACAGACGCAACTCTTTAAAAAGTTTTTCTTGAAAACATAGTATCACATAGGAGCACATAACATAGGACCTCAGTAGCGACATCTCTCGGGCTTCTCGCGGAAAACAAGCTTGCTCGCTAACTCACAAACAATATTGCATAAAAGCTCTGTAGAATGTATAGAAACGTTAAAGTGATCCGATGCCAGCGCTGCGGCGAGTAGTTCGCGGAACTGATACTATTCAAATTAACCGTTAAATGCGTGAACGAAGATACACAATGAAGAGTTACGTCTGTTTGTCTGTGGAGCAACGTTCAATATGTGCGAATTTATGATCTTCCACAAGAGGTCTCTGATTGCGATCTAGCGTTGGTCCTGGGGAAATACTGTGATGCAAAGCGAGCTATTCGGGAGAAATTCCCTGCGGACAGGTGTCAGTGGTATATATGAATGTAAAAAAGGAGATTTCCAACTCGCTGAATTTCCTCAATCGAAAGGGGAACATATTCTATCAAGGAAACAAAAGTTCACGTTCACGTGGATTGCACGTTCAACAAAATATTGTGTCATCACATACAGACATAACACTCGCAAGTTGTTCATCGAACAAGCATTTAACGGTCAATTTAAAAGTATCGTTGTTGGTAGAACCACCACCTGTGGCACGCATAGTCAATTCTCTTGCTTTTGACGTTTACACACTACCGCCATCTTTACAGCGTACTGCCCACCACAGTGTACTCAACAGATGGCGGTAATGTTTTGGCGATGATTTTTTTTATAGTGAGAAATATTCAATGTGTTTTGCCTGTTTGTTTGTTGTGTCATAATCAACAAACATGTTTGTTATCTGAGAGCTAACAAACAATTCTTTTGAGTTCAACCCTGAATATTTATTTATCGTTATAGTTATCACCACTGGATATGATTGTCGTAATTTTAGTTTAGTGACAGTGGTGGATTAGTTGTATTTACAAACATTTTGTTAACTTATTAATTTTCGATAAGGCATTTTTTTGTTTTTAACTCACAAAGAAAAGTTCACGTTTTGATTTTTATTTAATTTTATAGTTATTCTATATGCATATTCAAGTTACATAAACTTTGGAAAAATCGGATGTAACTATTCCATCCACTTTATGCTATGTTATAAGCTGTTAAAAGTCATATGTAATCCGTTAGCACATACCTGATTACACCGCCATTGGCTACGAGTATTTATTTGCTAATGAAAAAAGTGACACCCGAGCAACGCCCGAGCAATGCCTTTTTTTTTGGATTTTATTTGTGGGGTTTTACGGGTGATACTTACAAATGAATGCCGCAATAATCTTCAAGCACACGCTGTATTGCTTAAACAACTTAACCACCTTCAGCACTTCGGGATAAAGTTGTTCAAAATGTGCTACCTCGGCGATTTCTGGGGAAAATTGAACCAATCTACTTTTTTTATACACTTCGAAAAACATACTCACTATCAACAAAATAATTTGTAGATTCGAATAACATCATTGTTGAAACTATTCAATGAATTCAACAAACAATTTTGTTGATCCACCCTAGCAAAATTTCTGTGCGTAGGAGCAGGGGTTGAAACAGTTGAACAAACCATTTCTGATCAGAAATATTATTACTAGGACATCATTGCTTGCTATTTTCAGAATTCACACACGGTCTTCGGCGACGGTGTCGTATGACAGAGCCTGTCATACGACATTTTAGTTTGGTACTGTACTATGATAGCTTGTTTTGCAAGTGTCGGAGGCAAAGACAGTCAATTATCACAGAAAATGTGTCGACTACCGTGACCGCTTACAAGACTGCGTAGGAGTACAGCTACAAATGGACTCAATACCGACACACCGACATGAATGACCATAGAAGTTACCATGAAATTTCTGCTCAAAGCACACTACTGACATCTGTCTCCATATTCGTGGAAAACGCTTAGCTAAGGCATGAACACGCATGCAAAATTTATGAGTTGGTTTGTATCTGATCTATTCTGGACAAATTATGAATATCTTGATAAAAAAATCCTATGGTTTTGAGAGATCGCATCGCTGCACATTTGAATTGACCGCTATAGATTTTAAAGCAAAAGCTAAGTTTAAATTTCATGTCGGTTTGTCAGTGGACTCACCTAATTAAAACTACAATTCAAGTGCTTTAAACATTACTCATAGTTGATAGTTAATGACATTACAAACTCCATACCAATTCAATTAATCTCCGATCTATCTTGTCTTCCTTCCCCAGGCATCGCAGGTTTGTCTCGATCAACCCATCAGACCTCAGAGTCTCTTATCGGACGACATTGAGATACAGCCAAAGTACGAGAACAAGTTCCTCCACGCCGTGTATCACCCCTCGATTCCGGACCACTGCAGGGCCCCGCTCAATGCAGCCCTGCTCGCCGAGTGCGACAACAGTGGATCGTTGTTCTCGATCCAGTCGGCACCGGTGGTCGCGACAATCGGCGGCGGTGGTACCACCGGCATCAACGGGGACATCCCCGGCGACACTATGCTGCCCAGTGACCTCATGGGAGTGGACGCCTTCCTGGACCGGCAGCGGGATTCCTACCCGGGAGCTGCTGGTCCACTTATTAGCCCGCTTCATTCCAACACCCTTCCTAAGGAGGATCATCGCACGGATACCCTGCTGCGGCCTTCCTCGTTGGCTTTCGATACGGGCTACCACGTTGTCAATAAACATGGTGAGGATTTGGCGGTGGCATTGAAGATCGGGGAAAAACTAATTCCGGTATCTTATTTTGATTTTACAGTTGAACCTCAGTTGTCTGCAGAATTGGACGAGGACGACAATGAAAACCTTCTGACTGTTTCAAGTTTAACCGCTAGGCCGTTGATTGCCAAATCTCGCGAGTTGAGAAGCAAGAAGTAGGTTCCTTCGGCATTGATAACTGTACAGAACTGAACAGTTCATTCTGTTTTTTCAGGGAAAAGCAACTAAAACGTAGAAAGAAGGTATCCACCGAAACTAGTAGCGAAGACGGCGAGGACGGACCGCCGGACGGTGGCTACGGATGGGTAATCGTATTTGGTGCATTCTGCGTACAGTTTTGGGTTGCAGGTCTGGTCAAGTCCTACGGTGTCCTGTACGTTGAAATCTTGGAAAATTTTCCCGGCTCATCGGCAACCACGGCCTCGTGGATTCCGGCTATCTTATCCGCTTTGTGCTTAGCTTTAGCCCCGGTGTCTAGTGCCCTGTGTCAACGCTTTTCTCCGCGTATCGTTGTAATTATCGGTGGTGTGTTCTGTGCTTTAGGACTCACGTTGAGCTACTTCGCCACCAGCTTGTATCATTTGCTGCTTACCTTTGGAGTACTCACCGGAATCGGTGGTGGTCTGTCCACCACACCCGGCATCGTCATCGTTTCGCAGTACTTTGAGAAACGACGAGCTCTGGCCAATGGAATTACGATCTCCGGCACGGCGGCCGGAAGTTTCATTTTCCCAATGTTGATTGAACGACTGATTCACCTGTTTGGATTTCATGGCACAATACTGATTTTGGGTAATGATGGCACAACCATGGATGGAAAGTACTTACTGACCTCAACTTTACCCCGACAGGTGGCTGCATGCTGCACGTTTGCCTTTCCGGAGCACTCTACCGTCCGGTGGAGGATTCGTTCCCGAAGAAGCCAAACCAGAAGGAAATTTCGTCGTTTTCCTCCCGGATGGATATCAAGGACAACCTTGGTCACCTCAGCTCATCGGAAGATCACCTCAGCCGACGGTGCCTTGAGGACCTATTCCTAGATGAAGCCCTTCACGATAAAAATCGCAACAGTCTGAACACTGACGGGAAGTTCGGTAAGTTTGACAAGTTCCGAAAGCAAACGGATCCCACCAGATGCGGTCGTCCCATTGAGGATCGCACGGTTTGGTGGTGGACATTCGTTCCTGCATTTCGTAACAATCCGATTCTCCTGTAAATAATTCCATACTAGAGAGCAAGACAAACCATTAGCAAAAAGTGTAGGAAGCATGAGCGTAGCAAGGGTCGCGAATAGTTTAGTCGACTTTCTTTTGCAGCAATATATCTTTAGGTTTTGGTTTCGTAATCATATCGGAAAATCGCGCTTTTTACTCATCAGTTGGATTCGTTAATTTTGCTGGCAGGTTTTAGCTCAGTGTAGGGCATTTGAGTCGTGCGGGTAGGATTCGGTTCGTCTCTCCAGAGCGTAGGTGATACATTTGGTTCAGTTAAGGTTTGCTCTTATTTTCCGATCTCGTATAGGCTAGCAGCAGGTCTGCGTTCGTTGCACCATAGAGAAACTAGAATATTCCCTCCACCTCGCTTCCGGTTTAGGGTTTTCTTAACGTTAGACGCAAACTAATTTTCGGCCCCCCCATTCAGTTCAAACTGGATAGCAAAAAAAAAAACAAACAATACAAACAGTAAATTCAGCAACGCATCCTAAGCTTTAAGGGTACTCACTTTTTCCCAAAGAAAATAAATTGCTTATAATTTTTTTAGATTTTTTGCAGATCAAATATATCAGCTGTTCGTAATGACAGTAAAAAGACACATGAATCGGTATACGATCTGCCGAATGTGCATCGCGATGCATACAGCCCTGCGGGTGATTTGAACCATGTGTGTAATTTACCTTCAAGAAAAATCTGATTTTTAATCTGTATGATTTTCTTAATTGTAAGAATTAAGTTTAATTATGATTGACAAATGTTGTGTTTGCGTTCTGTTCGTATATATATGGGTTTATTTTTTTAATAACTATTACGACTGGACTAGACTGATTATGAACACACTAGAAGGTTTTTCAGTTCAAATTTGGATAACAAGAAGCTTCAAACAACTCGGTAAACTTATCTAGTATGATATGGATACGGAACTACCACTCGCTGTAGCAAGACAACTGTCGGTAGACTGTGGATTATCATCGTTGTTCGACTTGATCAAGTATAATAACATCTGATTGTACTTAACTTGCCATTGTATTAACGGCCAAAAACTGTTTGGGTGAATTCGTAGGCAACATCGCCCACGTGCACCCACGAGGTAAATGAGAATCTCCTTCCAACTACGGGCCATCCAACAGGAGGATGTCCCAGTGAGTGGGGGAGAAGAGCCCGCCGTCTTTTCACGAAATGTTAAAGACAGGGAGTTGGCATTTCCACTCTCTCCATCCATTTCGCTTCAATCGGGTGCCCTGGTGGACCCTCCCGTACCCAGCATTTAATGTTAGCTCCCTAAACTTATCTAGTAAAACCAAAATTATCATAAATTTCCTGATAAATTTGAGCCTACGACTACTCCGACTGTCATAATTTTATAAATTCGATAAATTTAACACATTCTACGTGACATAACAATTTTTTTGCCTGTTTTTATCCAGATCTTGTTCTGCAACTGAAAAAAAGTAATTCATAACTATTATTGCAAATTTTGAATATGCATTAAATTTCCTATGAGAATTGCTCAAGAGTTTCTTATTTGAATGGCTCAAAAAGTTTTGTGTGTAGTTTTAATTTTTATGGAAAAATATTTCAACGTCACGCAGCATAGTCACTCACCAATTCATTTTGAGCTACTCAAATTATAAACGCTTCATCACACTTCACAAAATTGGAATAGTATTTGAGAGCAATTTTTATTTATTATTTCAGTTACAGAAAAAATAACTACAAAAAAACGTGGGTGCATGCTGGTAGAATGTGTCATTTGTGACTGTGCAGACTATCAACAACATCGATACTTGCTCAGTATTTAATAGTAGAGTGAATTGTTGTGCACTTAGAAGAAGCGTCATATACTATACAGTTCTCGATTTATTATTGACTAAACCCTAGCCCAGTGCGAAATAATTTAACCAGCATATGTCTATAACTTATTTTAAATTCCTGAATGTATCGACACCAATGCACCTGTTGGTGGTGGGATCTGACATTTCTTATTTATTTAAATTCCGATAAAAAATGCTTAAGTCCGCATTCAGGAAAGATGTATACTAGGGTGGGTTAACCCCTGTTCCCCATTGCTCTTCCGCTGTGTATTGAGGTCCTGAACACTGGTGTCAAATTTTAACGAATTTGGCGATGATCAGGATTTGCGGGAGAATTTTAAATTTTGTATGGGAAAATGTATGGGAAACGAAGCGAACCTATCCATTATTTCGATTTGGTTCGAACTAGTTTTCAATCCGACAAGTAGGCTTAAACGCTGTCCAGACTGGAGAGTTCTAACATGTTATAACGGTTGTCAAATAATTGCAACACAGAAACCACCATCAAGATAGCGCTATAACATGTTATAACTCTGTAGTATGAACGTACTATAACGTTCTGCTTCCGCTGTCATTGCCCAAGCGCATTTAGACTCCTGAGATCTTTTTTTTAATTTCGGCTTATTGCTCCGCGCATATTTACAGGCGTATATATTGCCGTTTCAAAAAAAAAAAGAAATGACGGCTTCGGCATGACAGACTATTTTCGGCAACACAAATTGAAACACTATTTTCACTGGATTTTCTTACGAAAACACTTCGCTGAATGCATGCAAACGATTCTTTATGCTTTCAGCTTCAATTTGACTATATTTTTACCACTGAGAAAAAGCAATCTAGCAAGGTTTTCTTGAAATGCAACACACGCACTACAAATTGTAGCTGATTTCGAGTTGCCGATAATAGAACAGCAGATTTACACGCAGTTCAAATGGAACGGTTGCCGAAGAAAAACTGGTTGCCGACAATACTCGCTCTCACTAGAGAAGATTGGAGCTTTGTAAAAGCGTTTCAAAACAGTTTTTGACAATTCTCGATGAACATTTCAAATGGTCCTATCTGCTTTGATCGATTCTCTTCATCGACTTTCTCTTTCGTTAATAACTCAGCTGAAAAACCTTTCCCTGTTGTATTTGACGTTTTGGACGCTAGATAAGAACCTCCTTTATCAAACTATGTGGTAGAATTAGCGCGGAATCTGTTTGCATAGCAGTGGTTATGAAAAGAGAAAGTCGATGAAGAGAATTGATCAAAGCAGATAGGACCATTTGAAATGTTCATCGAGAATTCTTTCGACTGAAATTGTTAGAGCAGCTGGCAGCAACAGATTGTAAACAAACCAATACTGCATATGTGTGCGTTCCTTAGAGAAAAAGGTTATAGAAAGAAGGTCGCTGCTTAGGTTGCCGAGAATACGTAAATTCCCCTACTTAAAACTATAATGAACAACTTTGTTGAAGGCTGCAAGTCGATTTGATGCTTCAGAAAACAGAAATTGGCTTTCGGAATCAGATTGCAGATAAACCTTGATTTGAGCAGAAAAGCAGGTATGCTGATAGGGCATATTTCATAGTATGCTTTGCCAGATTTTTTACCTCAATGTTTATAAACAAATTGTGCTGTCATCTCTGGATACAATAGTGCCATGGAGTTGAGTAGTGATACGGAGAAGTGGTTGATCGGTCAGCCCATTACCAGGTTCACCGGGGGAAAACTTCCGAGTAACCGAGAAGTACTGCAGCTCTTCTTTATTCATCGCGCACAATCTCGCTTCACGATACGACAATGCTGCTGGAAGGTGTTTCAAACGGCAGAACAAGTTTGGGTCAGAGCTCGTATCCCATTTAGGAAAACCAGCCATAGTATCAACGCTTATACCACTCCAGCACGTCGTTCGTGTAGTGGCATGATGCCAAATCCGGCCAGAAGATCCGCTTTTGGAGACACTCTTCCAAATACACCTGTCCATTCATGGTGCTTGCGGTAACGAAAGGTCTACTCCGCTTTCCGCAAGTACAAATCGCTTGCCAAATTAGGAACTTCTTGGCGAACTTCGAACTGTGTCCGGAGGTTCTCGGGAACATCACACTTATCCTTGGCAGTCACATACAGGTTTCCTGGAATCTGGTTAAAGTCCGCCTTCACATGTGTCTCGTACAACTTCCGGGTACGGCTTTTTGCGACCGTATTCTATTTCTCGTCACGGTTTGGGAACTTTTGAACCTTTTATTCTTCACGAAAGTCTTGCTCACAAGCATCTTTTTAGCCACATCTCGAACTGAGGCGTTCGGTTTCCGTTTAAAGGCCCCAACCATGCGTTTTTGATCGTTCTCGTTGACTTGACGGCTTTTTCCATATCTTCCCTTCCTATCAACAGTCAGACGTTCTTCGAACCATTTTATGATACAAGACACCGTGGAATTCGCGATTCCCAACTTTTTTTTCCAATGGCACGATGCGACAGATCCTTATTCTCAAAGTAACTTTTTCGCACACGCACACGGCCAATCATACCAACTCAGCGACTGAGAATAATTAACTCAGAGAATTTTCTTTCCATACGAAATTTACTCAGATTTGGAAGAAACTGCAGTTACTCATAAGCTATGAGTAACTGCAGTTTCTTGCAAATCTGAGTAAATTTCGTATGGAAAGAAAATTCTCTGAGTCAATTATTCTCAGCCACTGAGTTGGTATGATTAGCCGTGCACTGTTCTTTCGTCGCCATTTGGAAAACTTTTGCGCACCTGATGAAATCAACTCAACAGACTGTACGGATCAAAAGTTAGATCAATTTAAGTGTGTGCGGATTTTAAACGGTACACCCTAAGGTGAAAGTGGATCGGTTTAGAATGACTCACTTCATCGGTTTTTTACAAAATAACGCAGCGCTCAATCGAAAAAAAACTCTTCGGTGCAAAATTAAAGAACTAAAATAGCAATCTCTAGCAATTTTTTCAAGATTGATTTATTGTTTAAATTTTCTGTAAACCATTTTCTAAGTTCAATTTTTGGACCACAATCATAGTGGTCGTTAATTTTGCTCATCAATTAAACAAGTATTTC